ACATGCTTGTTGGAGCAAACTGGTTTGGAGCTAGCTGATCGTCCAAACAAGGGGTTCACCCAAACTGGTCTCAACCAGGAGAATCCCACCCCGCTATACAGGCCTATAAAATAAAATGGTTTGGTTGCCAGCCAATGCCCAATATCAGGTTCATGTGATGCTTATACTGAAAGAAACGTGGTCTTTGTTAGTTATTTTGCAAAAAACACATACATAGATTCTTTTTTTAGGGTGCCTTCCCCAGTCAATGATGGCTCCTGGCCTAGATTAGTCCACGCGGTTTCCTTAAGGAAGTTTTCAGAAGTGATTTGCTACTGCTTCCTTTTTAGGGCTGAGAAACTCCCAGTCTTCCTGTTTCTAGCCTGTTGCCTTAACCAGTGTACCAAACTGGCTCTATTCTAAATTTAATAGACGCTTTGAGAGTAATTTAATACATTAGAACCTGATTACCCAAAGGGAAACCTACTTCGGTATGAATCTGTTCATCCTGTGAACATCCTTTTCACCATTTCTAGTTTTGTTTTGGAAAATTTAAGGGTTGAGATGGGACATTAAACCAAAATAATGCACCAGCAGAATTAAAAATATGACTGCTTCTGATATTAATGTCACTTTCTTACAGGAAGTGAGAACCAGCCAATGAATTTTTATCAAGTTAACTCTATTACAAGTTTTCCAAACAATTGCAACCAGCAACTTAGTTGTTAGGACCCATGGTTTTAAAGTGAGACATGATGTGTCCCTGACTTGTAATTTTACTGCCTGTTTCTCCATTGACTTGGCTTGTTGGAAGCTGGTAATTATGTGACTGCTAGAGACACCCCAATGGTTATGTGAGGACTGATTGTAGATTTACTTTTTCAGTGCTGACTTTATTTCAAACGGTTGCTAAACAAGACAGTCATTATGCAAAAACCACCTGTATGTTTTAACTGTTTGAGGATCATAATAATAGAATAACAGAGCAGACTAACAAGAGTTGGAAGGGACCTTAAAAGATCATCTGACCAATCCCCTGCTCAAGTAGGAAATCCCATATCATTTCAGACAAATGGTTGTCCAATCTCTTCTTACAAACTTCCAGTTTTGGAGAACCCACAACTTCTCGAGGCAAGTTGTTCCACTGATTAATTCTTCTAATTGTCAGGAAAATTCTCCTTAGTTCTAGATTGGTTTTTTCCTTGATTATTTTCCATCCACTGCTTCTTCTCTTGTTTTCAGATGCTTTGGAGAATAGATTGACTCCGTCTTCTTTGTGGCAATAATGGAAGACTGTTACCATGACAGCCCTAGTCCTTCTTTTCATTAAAAACATCGACATACCCAGTTCCTGAAACCATTCTTCGTATTTTTATCCTCCAGTCCCTTAATAATAATCATTGTTGCTCTTTTCTGCACACTTTCTAGAGCTCAACATTTTTTTTTATAATGTGGTGACCAAAACTGAATGCAATATTCCAAGTATGGTCACCAGAGCTGTTGTGAAAAAGATTATCCAAAGGACCCAATCAACCATCAATTTGTTATTATATTATTTCGCTGAATTTGCAAGCGGCAATATTGAACTGCATCCTAGAACATTTTTTCTGTTGCTCTTGGTCTCTAGTTGTCTGAATTGTTTTTTTAAGGGAATGGCAAAAAATAAAAATAAATAAATTCAAAAATGAGAGGGAAATAACCTATTAGGAAATGAATGCAGGCACCCTTGTTATAAAGAAAACAAGTGAGCAAGCAAGCAAGCAAGCAAGCAATATTATCTTAACAGCTTATCATCCAGAACTCCTGTGCTGCCTCAAATTCAATTTAGCATGTGAGGCTAATAGTCATCTTTTTGTTTTCATTTTGCCTGAGATCATCATTTGTGCTCTTGCACCTCTACACATCCATCAGCGTGCTGCTGCGTGCTAAATAATGTTATCTTTTTCCCTGAGCTTTGCATCTTTTCTGACGTGCACGCACTCCACTCTATGCCTGTGAAACTCACAGCTTTTCAATGGGCCCATCATGTAATAATGAGAGGTAGATTCACACAAACTGGGCTTAGGCACAAAGATTAGCTGGGCATAGTTATTCAGAGACAGGCTGTTATGATCCTGGAATCAATATTAGGATTCTCTCTGCTAGCTGAAGTGTGAAAGTCGAAGATCACCACTTTGAGGGCCACACAGAATGAACTCTGTAATACTGGAAAGATGGTTTTTGTAGTACTGTCGCACTGACTAACATGGGCTTTCTTGTATTTTAAATTTGCTTGTTCAAATATATTGCTAATAATTTGTCCTAACCTTCAAGAAAAAGCCCATTTCAGAAACCAGGACTGGCAGGAGCACAATCTAATGCATTGTAGAATAACGCCTTTGTTTCTAGGTGTTCCCATGGCTATGTTCACATATTATTGGACGCTTTAATTCTTGTGATGTAACTGGACAGGTGACTATTTCTAACCCAATTAACTGTTACTTTGAAGTTCTTTGTTCTGCTAACTATAAAAGTAAATGTTAAGTTATTTTTCCTGATTCTCCCTTTTCATAGGGAGATCCCACTTTATCACAGCACTCCAATAAACTGCTTTTAAATGAACTTCTGACTTGGTTGTTTATTGGCAAAGGTTAGCCAAGGCAAAACCTAGAGCCAGATTTGGCCATCCCCTTGCATCAAAAAAATAGCAGATAATCAGAGTTGGAAGGTACCTTGTAGGTCATCTAGTCCAACCCCCCGCCCAAGCAGGACATCCTACACCATTTCTGACAAATGGCAGTCCAATCTCTTCTTGAAAGCCTCCAGTGATGGCGCTCCCAAACTTCCGAGGCAAGCTGTTAATTGGTTGATTGTTCTGTCAGAAAATTTCTCCTTATTTCCAGGTTAAATCTCTCCTTGTTCAGTTTCCATCCTTCATTCCTTGTCTGGCCTTCAGGTGTTTCAGAAAATAGCTTGACCCCCCCCCCCTCCTCTCTGTGGCAGTCCTTCAAATATTGGAAGACTGCTATCATGTCTCCCCTGGTCCTTCTCTTCCCTAGATTAGCCATGCTCAGTTCCTGCAACCATTCGTTGTATGTTTTAGCCTCCAGTCCCCTAATCATCCTGGTTGCTCTTCTCTGTACTTTTTCTAGCGTCTCAACATCTTTTTTTATAATGTGGTGACCAAAACTGGATGCAGTACTCTAGACATGCTGGTATTAGTACCTCACTTGGTCTCGATTGTATCCCTCTGTTAATGCAACTTAGGATTGCATTAGCTTTTTTGGCTGCTGCTGCACACTGCTGGCTCATATTTAGCCGGTTGTCCACTAAGACTCCAAGATCCCTCTCAGAGTTACTGCTATTGAGCCTGGTTTCACCAAGTCTATATGTGTACTTTTGGTTTTTCTTGCCTAAGTGTAGGACTATACTTTTCTCTACACTGAATTTCATTTTGTTAGATACGGCCCAGTGTTACCCTGCTCCCTTCATTGCAGAAATGGCATTCTGCAGATCTTGTCACTCATGGAGTTCCAGTTGGCAGGATACAGAAGGATTTTTTTTTTTTGCTCTGGCTCCCACCAAATGGAACACTGTGCCTCTTGAGGTGAAATCTGCACCCATCCTCTTGGCCTTCCGTAAGAGCCACAAAACTGGGTTTTACCTTTTGGTTTTGGGCTTCAACCTACCCACACCCCATATTTTTGGTTTGTAATTTATTTGCTCTATCTACTTTAATATTTAGTGGGTTTTTTTTTTGTTTAAACAGTATGCAAGCAGCCCAGAGTTGCTGCACTGTGGTATGGGCAGCATATAAATTTAATGAATAAATAACCGAAAAAAAGAAGCATACTACTACCGTGCTTCCTCAAAAATAAGATCCAACTGGAAAACAAACCTTAGCTTGATTTTTAGGATGTGCATAAGATCTACCCCCAAAATAAGCCCCAGCTAAGATTGTCAGCCAGACGGACGCATTTAGTACTGTTTCTTCTAAAATAAGACCTAACTGGAAAATAAGCCTCTTTTGGAGCAAAAATTGATATAAGACTTGGTCTTATTTTCGGGGAAACAGTAGTTTCACTGAAAAGTAGTCAGCTGTGTCAAAAGGGAACTAGTGGTATCAGTGATATGACCAGGAATAATTGAATTTCTGCAGTGTGCTTTTTGCAATACCATACTTGCATTCTTTTTCCAAATGCAAATATATATATCAGCATCTTTCCGTAGCACTTTGCATTCTTTTAGCAATTTGTATAGTGAATTTCAATGCAAATTTCTAAAACAATACAAAGTAATACAGACAGATGCAAGATTGTATAAGAATGCTCTCAAAAATGTTTTCTTGCCGATCATTTGCCTAATGCTTACATATTTGTGCACTATTTATTTTCAAAATGGATCCCGGTATTCTACCTTCCAAAGAAAGAATAATTGTGCTTTGCTATGCCTAATAGTGTGGAAGATGCAACCTAGATCGGTTCATACGACATGGTGAATGAAATGGACTTGGCCCTCATTTGTGGGTATCAAAGCCTTTGTGTAAATGATAAAACCTGGCTACAGGAATTGCATAAAATAGCCAGGTAGGGAAAGAAACCATAAAAGATTTTCTTCGGTCTGCAACACCAAAAGGGAATACAGTTGTCGTCTTCCCATTATGGACAGAATGAAGCATCTCTTTGCTTGGCAGACCAGGTTAACTGATGAACTGGTGCCAAGCCCCCTTAATTGGAAGACTGTTCTTAGAGCAATAGATCATGAAGTTGGGAGCCTAGGAAAGTGATCTGCTCAACTCACAATGCATTTGTTTGAGGACTCCAAATGATGGCCAGCAGGCTGGAGAAGGTATAGTCCTAGTGTTAAAACTCCAGGGAAATTGTGCAAGCGGAGAAGTTGTGAATCTCCCCATTCCGGTTGGTGTTTTTTTTTATGAGCAGCTGTTGTGTACAATGCGAATGGCACCTTTACTGGACAACGCGCAGTTGGCCAACAAGGCGACGATGGGACGTGGAGAAGCACCACTTTCAAATATTGCCATCCAATCCTTAGATTTTATTTCTTTTTAGAAGTTCCCACCCCAACAATTTGGAATGGATAACAATAAATTAAGAAACAAACAAACAAACAAAAAATACAATATTCAGTTAAGTTTTGAGCAAACACATCTACAAAAGAACAGATGCTAAAAACCGTAGGGCTCTACTGGAGGCGTTTCATTTCTGTTTCCACAAATGGCAAGCCAAAGCAAAACAGAGGATCGTGCTTCTGGATGATGAAACAGGGTTTTTGTCAGTCTCCGGCATGAAGGCATTGCCACTGTGTGGTGTCTCTGACCCGTCCAGTTGTCTTGCATTAGCACATAGATAGTAACCTCAAGAGGGCACTCATGGTCAACAATGCAAGTTGGGATTGAGCACACAATCTCTTAAATCCACTGGACAGGATGAAATTTAGGAAAGACACTGAGGGTGTTTTTCTTCTTCAATAATATGTTCCTGTACAGGAGCAGAAATCACTATGCTACATTAAAATAACTTCAGAAATATTTATATATACACATATAAAATATTTTACACAACACCCAAAGGCACTGAGTTGCATTGGGGCTCAGCTCCTCATTCCCAGTTATATTGGAAATGGAGAATATTATATTTTCTTAGGGAGGGTGTGGAGCACAGCAGCCCCCAAAAGAACGAAAAACCTGCTCGGTAGAAGTTGAAAACTCCTGTCTGTAAAGTTGCTGTTGGTAGGTGACAACATAGCCATTTCCAAATAATTATGGCAAAACAGGAAATAATTTTCAATATGCAGAGTGAACGAAAAGAGCTAACATCTTTCTTTTTAAAGGGAAAAGCAACAGCAGGTTTCCAGTGATCTTCTAAAATATCTCAGAGTACAGCAATTTCAGCACTGTCGGTTGCTAGAATTATAATCTAGTAAAAAGTTAAGCAATTCTAAAGCCCACTGATTTAAACAGAAGAGTTAAGCATGCACTTAAATATGTCCTATCCATTTCAATGGAAGTAGGTACTTAACATTGGCTCAATCTCATCTGTTATTTTTAATTCGAATAGTTCAAGGGTCAATGTTGCACAGCTTCCAATACAGAGAAGAATACAATGGATTGGCTCTTAAAATTTCTTCCCCCCACACTTGCTTGTTGGTTTCACTAGAAAGATATGGCCTTTTCAAAATAGCTGGTAGATACAGAAAGCATAAATATATCATAAAGTTTAGACACCGATTGTACTAAATGCAACAATACAAAGAAGCAAACGGGAACACAAATAGTAACACAATAAAACTGTATTACATTTGTGCTTCAAATCTTACAATATATTATGTACATTAGTCCAAAATAAGCATCTCATGCCAAAGGACACAAAAGGGAAAGAAAGAAAAAAAAACCCTCCCAAAACCAGCAAGCCAAAATCAAAACTAAACTTTCAGCAGTATGTACAATATTTTTAATGGACATCCAGCTGTGAACAGGTGCAATTTTTACTACAGATAAGTGCAGTTCTCTTTTTATTCCACAGGATCATTTTCTCTCCCTATATCTATGCTATTTAGTAGGTTCTGGTGTCATTTCTTATATACATGTTAAAAAGAGAAGGAAAGGACAGAAAAAAAAGAAAAGAATGATGGGCTTCCATAATCAGAGAAGTTTGGAGCGGCTGAATCAGCGGACCTGGGGTGCGTAGCCCTCTTTCATTAAACCTTCTTCATAGTCCGTCTGGCAGAGAATCATGTTGTTCTTTAGGAAAAATTTGTCTCCCACACAAAATCTGGAAATACAAAAGGGAAAGAGATGATTCAATTTGTACTGGATCCTATGACAACGCCTCAAACCAGGAGGGGAACCTTCTTAGATGACCAACCACAGTTCTTCATATTTTTTTAAGGGTCTCTTTATATACACCCAGCCCTTTCTCCTCACAACCTCACCCCCAACAAAACTTAGAATAGCACCTAGACTTATATACTGCTTCATAGTGCTTTACAGAACTCCCTAAGCGGTTTACAGAGTCTGCCTATTGCCCCCCAACAATCTGTCTCCTCATTTTACCGACCTCAGAAGGATGGAAGGCTGAGTCAACCATAGGCCAGTGAGAATTGAACTGCTGGCAGTCGGCAGAATTAAGACACTGCATTCCAACTACTGCGCCACCATAGCTCAATATTCAAATTGGTTGTATATTTGTTTTTCCGAAGGTAGATTTCTGTATCTGTTGTTTTTATATTTGTGATTTTTTTCCTATTGTTTTATTTATTTTGTGTGGCCCTAACAGAAAGGACCGTATAAGTTCCGATTGTTGTATGCTGCCCAGAGTTGCTTTTGATAAGATGGGCAGCGACACAAGTTTGATTGATACATACATAAATAAAATATAGTTCATGGTTGGTTGTCCGAGCTTGGAAGGAGTATTACTGACCAGGATTTGGACAGATCTTTTATCCTATTATATTTGTGTGGCTTCTGCTTCTGAATGAGTGGTTGACTTATGGTAGCATTCGATCTGAACTCAGGGGCACAACCCTTCCTTTTGAACCATTCTACCAAGGTAGCCTTGCAAAGACACGGGGTGAAGCTTTGCAGAAAATACTGATTTATATATGCAGTCCTTGACTTATGACCACAATTGAGCCCCAAATTTTCATTGCTAAGGGAGATAGTTAAGTTGAATTTCATCCCGTTTTATGACAATTGTTCAATGAATCACTGCTAAGTTGTTAAGCCAATAATGTGGTTGTTAAGTGAATCTAGCTTCCCTACTGACATAAGTCAGGAGGTCACAAAAGATGATCACATGACCCCCGGGACATTTCCACAGTCATAAATATCAGTCGGTTTGCAAATGTCTGAATTTTGATCATGCGATCATGGGGATGGATGCTGCAATGGTTGTTAAGTGTGAAAAACGGTACTGTCACTTTTTCGGTACTGTCAGCGGTTGCTAAATGAATTGTCGTAAGTCGAGGACTACCTGCATCTCAATATTAATCTTTCAAAGCTCAGAAAATGTAAACACAAGATAAGTTGAACAGGGTCCGTGTGTCCTTTTTTAATACAAGAAAAGCAGCTATAGGCACAGGACAGAAGGGCAGGGTCAATGGGCTCACCCCAATTTTCTCAGTTAGGGATGGCTGGATTCACACCAGTGGGGTCTTTAGAAGGGCATGTAATCCTTGTAGGCCCCTTGTTAAAATGTTACACTAGAAAGGCTAACTAATAGAGCCTTGGGCCAGTACAAAAAATATATATTAAAGCATACATATATTCCTTTTAGTTATTAAATAGCAAAGTATTTAAACTGAGAAGTTAGTTTCAAATGAATGCATTTACTGATTACACATTTATCATTTGGCTGGCTTGATCTCCCTTCATAGCATACCTTAGAAACAGCAGTTAAATATGCAGTAATTCTCAAAATAATTTTAAGATACATTAACACAGTGCACAAAACGTTGACAAGATAAGTAAGCGGGATCACTTTAGCTAATATAATTAGTAACGGACTCATTTGCAAAATCAGAAAAAAACAACATTCTGAAATTTCACAGTGCCCCAAGCTGCAGATACATTGCATTACGTCAATATAAATTAACCACAGTTAGTTGGGCTCATACAACATGCAGAACTCTAGCCAAACAAACCACTTTATGGCTCAGTGAGATGTGAGCTTAAGACTATAGGTGAAGAAGAAGGAGCATACTCAGTTGTGGCTAAAATGTAATAACTATGTAATGACCTGGAGTGTAACACAAATGTAACAAAATCCAAAACGTAAATAAATGTCCTTTAATGCATCCAACTTGCCCCCACTGTTCAATAATTCTCAGTTGGAGATAAAACTTACTCAAAAATAGTCTTTAAAAGAAAGCAATACAGTCTGAACTTAATGAACAGATAGAGGTGAAATAAAAAACCCAAAATAAACTACAATGAAGGATAAGTAATTACCAACTTTAAGGAGATAACAAGGCACAGTCTGTTGGAAGGACACCAACCAAGATAACTTCAGCCCAAAATAAAACATGCTTTGCTTCTGGCAACACTGTGTTGTATCCATCCCTCTTGTATACAATTCTCTCCAGCTGCAACTAATGAGGGGGATCATGGCCGCTTCCTCTCTCATAAGCCAAGTTGTTCCTTCTGTTCCACCCTGTATGTCCTAGGATGAAGAGGGGATGGACCTGGTTCTTCCTCTGACTGCCCAGCCGGCCTCTGCCCTCCCCCAGCCTCCTCCACAACCCCCAGAGCCACACCTCCACTCCCTGTAAGCTGTTCCTCCTCTCCCTCAGAGTCCGACTCTACCAAGGGCATGACAAAGTCATAAGCCAAAACCGCCCATAATAAACAGAAATAATTTTACAGTGAAAGCAAATTTCCAAGAAACTGGATGAAATGATACACCTGATGTTAGCTATTTATCTATCGCTTCCATTCATGCGACACATATGGATGCAACCAAATTAAGATCTATGTCACCATGGGGAGAGCAGAAAAATATTAAGCAATGAAAGCTTTGTAGGGTTCCTTCTATCCACATCTTTTTCAATCCAAAATTGGGGCTCGAAAGAGGTAAAAACCGACCTTTTTACAGAAACCCAAACTGTCTAGCATGGTGGCATGAGTAGACGGTTTCTACAAAGGGTCTACTTCCCCCCCCCCTCCTTCAAAAGAGTGATCCCTTTAAATGCAGACTGGAGAAGAGAACTTGCCCCCAGACTCAGCCAGGGGCCTTCAGCCTACAGCAGAATTTAGCTAATGAATGATGCCACTGGGGTTGGTGGCATCATAATCGGTTTGTTACAAGAGCTCCATCTATAAAAACACCCTTAGAGGAACTGCCTGCTGCAGTCCAATTAAATCAAAAAAAGAGTCACCCAAATGAACTTTTTTTGTTGTTGCATTGATGCGGACAGATGAAAATGCCTTTGCTTCAACTAATTACCCACCTTGGTCTAGAAAGCATTCTTTAATTTGGCCTTGGATTACAATGTCCTTACTCTCTCGCCGACCCTCCCCTCTTCCAAACCGCAACATTTTGGACCCAATTAAGAGCTGAAATAAATGCATGCATTGTTTACAGTACATTGAACAACAGAGTAGCTATGGGAATAGGCTGTATATGTACTTAATTGCAACAATTTAACCTTCAAATAGCAGGGTCTGGTGGAGCTGACCCAGGAAAAGTACACAGAATTATATGCGTTGACCTGCCCAACCTCTGATAGCGGCTCCCTCGTATTTTATTAGTCAGTCACTCTCTAATGATGCTGGAAGCCGAAATCTGAAGGAATTGTCACCGAGTAAATTGTATACTGAAAAGAGGCCTTTAATGCTTTGTGAAGTTGTGAGGTTTTAAATGGAACAGCAGTTGGACTGATTTACATTTGTAAAGATTGGAATGCTAGACAAACAGCGAAGCCATTTATTTTCCAACTGGGTAGCTTTGGAAATTTATCCTTATGCTTGCTAAATAGAGAGAAGGGGAGAAAATAGTGTAATAAAAAAAGTGCATTGAAAAGAATTAGCTCGGCTCCCAAAGGAAAATTGGACTGTTTATTTGTGGGGTCTCACTCTCTCTCTCCCACCCCTCCCTCCCCCCTCCCCAAAAAAAGCCTCCAGACTTCAACCCACATTCCTTTTTCTTTCTTTCTTTCTTCCATTCGCGGATTAAAATCCATTCTCCATAAACACAGATTATAAAATGATCCTGAAAATGCTGGAGTTATTTATGGACAAATCAGTCTCACCAAACAGGGTCTTATTTCCCAATTTGTGGTCTCTTGCAGCCTATTTTTATATTTCATTATATTTCTTACAGAACAAAGCTAAGAGACCAACCAAGGGAGCAAATCTTCTTTTATAGCTTCTCTTTCTTTTGCGTCTGGGGCGGCATTTCTTGTCCTGTGCAAAACACAATCAGGTTCTTGCCCTTTGAGGAAATATTCATCCCCCCCCCCCCCCCCCACTCCCATGTATAATTAGAAAAAAGCGATCCATGAAGATGCACAAACTATCATCTAAATATAAAACGTGGAAGGGAAGTGTGAAATCCCATTCATAGGCGATTCCATCGCTTATGTTAGAAAAAACTGGAGAGCTTGAGCGATTCTTTCACATCATTCAGTGGACAAAAAGACAAAAACACAACAGGAGTTTCACTTTTCCCTTGACAAGCATCATGGTGGGAGATAGCACAAGATGCCATTTCTCTGTAAAAGTCCACTGATGAAGTCCATCAGATCCAAGGACCATAGGGCTGAAGTAGGCAGAATTTGTACCACATCTCTCTCTCTCTCTCTCTCTCTGTCTGTCTCCCTCTCTCTCTCCCTCCCTCCCTCCCTCCTTCCCTCCCTCTCTCTCTTTCTCTCTCCCCCCCCACAATTCTAATTAAATTTCCTACCCATACAAGTTCACAGGGGAGAACAGGAGAAATGGCTAAAAACAGCCAAGCAAGGGTTGACTGATTTATATTTAAGACACAGCTAAGAAATCCCAGAATAGTAGTCTAGACTGAAAAGCTGAAAGAGCACCTCAGAAGAAGTCTATGACAAGCCACGATCCTGATATTGCCCGCATAATCAGCAGGGACCGAGCACAACTCACCTTTTCCCCCTGCTTGCAAATCTATTTCAAGATCGTATCTAAAAGGGAGTGTGTGCAGTGGCCTCTTTTCACTTCACATCCTATCAACTGGAGCAGTGGAATAGTGTTAGCAATTCTAGCAACTGGAGCAATGCTAGTGTTGAATAGGAAATGCTACTGCTGTATGTT